GGACGCCTACAAAGCGCTTCGCGATGGTGACCACAGCATGGATGTGGATTTGATGATTGGCCTAAACCATGACGAGGGTAACTTCTAGTTGTTCGTACTAACTATTCTTTTTTCAACTCATTTGTCTCGTACTCATTTTTTATGTGAAAAATTTTATGTTCCTTTCTTTACTTCTCTAATAATTCATCGCAAATACTGATGAGCATAGTCGAGCGGGCAAATGTTTCTTCTTTTAAAAAAATCTGTTAAATTGCATTTAATAATTTTTCGTAATAACTGCATATAATAATTTTTCGTAATAATTGTATGTAATGATTTTTCTTTTATTGTTAGCAATTTTTTATGTATTTTGCGCTGCAACAGCCGGCAAAAATACACTAAAGCGTGGGCGCACATGTATTTTTTATGTGTGTATATGTGTATGTTTGAAAACCGAGGAGCTAAAATTATGAAAAAAGGCCAGGCCATAAACAAAGGATTTCAGTTTTGCTGTATCCCCTGATCTTTAGCTTTAGGGCAAAAAAATCGAGCAAGTTTTGCCTAATGAAAACCAAAAAATTAGCTCGAAATCGAAACTAGCGAGTACAGCTCATATCTCTTTTTGTTTTGTGAACTTTGGCTCTGTCGGGCTAATTCTACAACTCGCAATTCGGAGAATTTGTAAGTCTGCGGCTTTGTCGACGAAGTTTGCGACGAGGGTACAAAGCGATTGGCTTAAAATTGGCAGATCGATCTTATTCTAACTTTTCACTTCCTACAGGAATTTGGACAAATTTTTTTGACATAAAAACCAAAAAGAGGCTTAAGCGTCGAAACCATATGCGAGAACATTTAATTAGTAACCAATTTTATTCACTTTAATCTCGGGCAATTTTTATAGTTAAGGGATAAAGTGATGTACATACTGGCTTTGTAAATAATTAAGACTGGACGGCCCGAAATTAGATTTTAGAATTTCCTGTTTTTGGTTCTACTTCCCGTTTAAATGAATAAATGAAACTATGAGTTTTGAAATTTTGTTGCATTTTGCGTAATGAATAGACTGAAAGTAAGACTGAAAGACTGAAGGCTGAAAGACTGGAGGACTGAAAATAAAAAAACATATTTGCGTAATGAATAGACTGAAAAAATATTTGAATAGACTGAAAAGAAATAATTAAAACAAAGATATTAGTGATAATATAAATTAAAAAAATATTTCAGGCAATTATTGGAACATCTATAATCTGCCTCAGTATTTCGATAAGCCCGAGCAACCGTTGCTAAGTGAGCAAGACTTTCTGGAATGCGTAAATGTCGCATTCAAAACGCAGCCAAAGCTTGTCCGTGAAGCCGCATCATTTATTTACATGGATCGAAAATGCGAAAATATTGGCTACAAAAGTAAATATTATGCTGAGCAGGTAAGCGGCCCTTTTCTAGAACAAGCAAAATGTTTCATTTTCGAGAACTAGCTTATCTGGAAGCATAGAAAGTGGGGTAAGTCGACATAACGAGCACTGATTTTCAATTTTAAAAAGTTACACAATGACTTTAAAATATTTATTGAGAAAACGCACGCTTTTGAAATAATAAGGTAACGGTGACTGAATTAAGTATCATATGTAAAAAAATGTATTAGGATGCAGTCTGGATTTCAT